CAGATCCATTAAACCATCTCTGCTTCCCAAGAGCATCCCCAGATCCAGAGGAGCATCCTCAAATCCAGAGGAGCCTCCCTGCTATCCAAGAGCATCCCCAGATCCATTAAACCATCTCTGCTTCCCAAGAGCATCCCTTGATCCACTAGAGCATCCCTGCTTCCCAAGAGCATCCCTTGATCCACTAGAGCATCCCTGCTTCCCAAGAGCATCCCCAATTCGTGGAGAGCATCCCTGTTTCCCAAGAGCATCCCCAAATCCAGAAGAGCATCCCCACTATCCAAGAGCATCCCCAGATCCTGAGGAGCATCCCTGCTATCCAAGGGCACCCCCAAGCCCAGAAGAGCACCCCCAAACCCAGCACCACCTCCCAGCCTGGCCGTGGACCCGCGGAGCAGCCCCTTCCCGGCCGGAATTCCGTGTGTTCCCCCCGTACCTGCTCACGTATTCCGACTTGGAGCGGGCCCTGGCGCTGTGCCCGCCCCGGCTGACCTGCTGCTCGATCAGGTGCTCGATCCGGTCGTGCATCTCCAGGTTCTGCAGGAGAAGGGGCAGGAGTTGGGAACAAGGTGGGTTTTCCAGCCCCGGGGAGCAGGGAAGGGATTGTCCCTCCGTGCTGGGGACGGGAGGGGTCACACCTCCCATTCCAGGGGGGAATTCTGGGGGCACCTCACGACAACGCTGAGGGGTTGGAGCGTGTCCAGAGGGGCTGAAGCAGCTGGAGAAGGGGTTGGAGGACTCCTGAGGGAGCTGGGGGGGCTCATCCTGGAGAAAAGAAGGCTCAGGGGGGACCTTCTGGCTCTGGAATTCCCTGACAGGAGGGGGGAGCTGGGGGGGGTTGGACTCTGCTCCCAGGGAACAAGGGACAGGAGGAGGGGGAACGGCCTCAAGCTGTGCCAGTTTGACAGGTTGGACATCAGGAGGAATTTCCCCATGGAAAAGGATGTTCAGGCATGGGAAGGAGCTCGGATCTGACCCCCCCCAAAACCCTCTGGGACCCACCTCAGCCTCCAGGTAGGAGACCCTCTCCTTCAGCTCCTGGATCGTGGAATCCTTGGCCTGGATCACCGTCTTGGAATTCTGGAGCTGCGAGGAGGCAAGTTAGGAACAGCTCTGGACCCCCTCCCGTGGATGGATGGGGCTGGAGAAGCGCCCAGGGAGCTTTTTTCTTTTTTGGGAATTCCTTCCCAGCCCTTCCCCTCGTCCCTCCTGCCCTCACCTGCTCGATCATCTGCCGCACTTTGCGCTGTTGGCTCTTCAACATGTCATCCAGGTGGTGGATCTTCTCCCTCAGCGTGGCCACCTCCTTCTCCAGCTGGGCCACCCTGGGAGAGGGAACACAGGGACAAACGTCTGGGAGCCGCCCCGGACGGGTGGGAACACCCACCCCCCAAAAACACCCACCCCCAAAAACACAGCCTGTGGGAACACTGGGAACACCCACCCCCAAAACTGCAGCCTATGGGAACACCCATCCCAAAAACTGCAGTCTGTGGGAACACCCACCCCAAAAACACCCACCCCAAAAACTGCAGCCCTGTGGGAACACCCACCCCCCAAAAACACCCACCCCCAAAACTGCAGCCTGTGGGAACACTGGGAACACCCACCCCCAAAAACTCAGTCTGTGGGAACACCCACCCCCAAAAACACCCACCCCCAAAAACACAGCCTGTGGGAACACTGGGAACACTCACCCCCAAAAACTCAGCCTGTGGGAACACTCACCCCCAAAAACACCCACCCCCAAAAACACAGCCTGTGGGAACACCCACCCCCAAAACTGCAGGTTGTGGTAACACCCACCCCAAAAACTCAGCCTCTGGGAACACCCACCCCCAAAAACTGCAGTCCTGTGGTCTCTCCTCTCCAGCCTCAGGATTTTTTGGGATTGAGCAGAAGGGGAGAGACAGACAAACCCTATCCCAGGAGAGCCACAAAGCCTGGAAACCACAGGAAGAGCAGGAAGAGCCACACCACAAACCCAGAGGGCTCCCAGGAAACAACCACCCCGTCCCCAATCAGCCCCTGGAGCAGCAGGGCCGGGCGGGATCGGAGCCTCCCGGGGCTCCCAAACCTCCAGAGCTCTTCTCCAGGAGCCAGGCAGAACTCCAAGGGTTTTTTTTTTTTTTGGGGGGGGGGATGAATCATCTCTGGGGGAGCAGGGAAGGTGTTTTGCAAGGCCAGGCAGGGCCAGCACGCCCTGCCCTGCCCAGGAATGTGCCAGGGCACGGAGCCCTGTGTGTGTGTGTGAGTGACACCCCGACCCGGGGCGGCTCTGGCAGGATTCCCCAGCTGGCAGCATTCCCAGGAGAGAGGAGCTGGCAGCATTCCAGGGGGGCCTCGGGGGACTCACCGTTCCTGCTGGGCGAGCTTGTCCCCTTCCAGGCTCCGCAGCCGCGCCAGCTCGGCCTCCCCGGCCCTCAGCTCGGCCACCAAACCCCGGCGCTCCTGAGGAGAGAGCCAGGGGGGAGTTATCCCACATGGAAAACACCGGGATACGCACAGGGGATCACAAACGGCCACCCAGGCTCTGCTGGGGGGGATGGGGTTGCACCAGGGTGGAGTTGAGGGATGGACAGACAGACGGATGTCCCGCTGCTTTCACACACACCCCCTAAGGATACGGGATGAATCCGGCCCCAGATCCATCACAGGGATGTGGGATGTCCCCATTTGGAAGGATCAGGGAAGGAGGGGATCATTGAGGTTGGGAAAGAGCTGCAAGATCACCCAATCCCACCACCTCTGATCACCAAATCCCACCTGATCCCCCAATCCCACCTGATCACCCAATCCCACCTCCGATCACCAAATCCCAGCTCTGATTCCCAATTCCACCTCTGATCTCCCAGTTCCATCTGATCCCCCAATCCCACTTCTTATCCCCAAATCCCACCTCTGATCCCCCAATCCCAAACTCTGACCATCGAGCCCAAGCCTTTGGATCATCCCAGCTCCTACCCCTGCCCAGGACACCCCCAACATGCCCCCCTGTGCCCCAGGGCCTTTCCCAAACCCTTCCCAACCCTCTGGCATCTTGGTGCCATCACCACTTCCCTGCCTGGTGCCCGACCACCCTCTGGGGGAAGAACCTTTCCCTAAAACCCATCCTAAACCCCTCTAACCCCCCCCAGCCACAGCTGCAGCCCTTCCCTCGGGCTCTGCCCCAAGAGCAGAGCTCAGCTCATCCCACATTGTCACATTTAGGACTTTAATCGCGTCAGGAGCTCAAAAAAATAACCGGATAACGCTGGAGGTTGTGGGAATGCCCCACGAGCACAACCGTCTAGACGGCGCTGCCGCTTCCAGGAGACCTGGAAGAGCCTGCACGGACCAACCAGCTCTTCTGGACCTGGGAAAGGCCCCTTCCCATCCCACCAGTGGGTTCCCAGCAGCTGGATATCGGGTTAGACCTGGTTGGGAAGTCGAGCCATGCGGGGAGGGGCTGGTTCCCTGGGCTGGTTCCTTGGGCTGGTTCCCTGGGTCTGATTCCCAGGTCTGGTTCCCTGGGCTGGTTCCGGGGTCTGATTCCCTGGGTCTGGTTCCCTGGGTCTGATTCCCAGGTCTGGTTCCCTGGGTCTGGTTCCGGGGTCTGATTCCCAGCTCTGATTCCCTGGGTCTGGTTCCCTGGGTCTGATTCCCTGGGTCTGATTCCCAGGTCTGGTTCCCCGGGTCTGATTCCCGGGTTTGGTTCCCAGGTCTGGTTCCCTGGCCCAGCTCCACTAATCCCAACCCCCCAGGAGGCTCCTGGTACCTTTTCCATCCCGGCCAGGAGCCTCTGGAGCTCGTCCACCTGCACCTCCTTCTGCTCCACGTCCCTCTCCGCTCTCCGGAGGGCAGAGCTCGCCTGCTCCGCTTCCTCCTGGTACTGGGCCACCTTCCTCTGGAAAACAGGATGGGAAAGGTTTTATTGGGAACAGCAGAGCCCTTGGGTGACATTCCCAAGCCTCGTGGGCGCTCCCAGGGGTTTTGCTGAAGGCACCAAGACCCCGACGGTGCTTCGGAGACAAGGAGCCCTTCGGAAGGTTCTGGGGCTTCAAAGCACTTCAAAGGGCAGGGAGAAGCTCCAGGGGGTTCTCAGGCTCCTCTGGGACCACCTGCCCATGGGGCCACCAGCCCCAGGTTGGGATGTGGTCACTTCCTCCAGCCCTGGGACTCGGGAGAGCTCCGGGGGCTCAGAAGGGACAAGGGTGGGCCACCAGCCCCAGGGTGACCTTGGCCACCATCAGGAGCTCAGAGGGGACAGGGATGGGCCACCAGCCCCAGGATGGGTCACCTGTCCAAGGAAATGACCTCAGTCACTTCCCACACCAACAGGAACAGCTCAGGAGCTCAAAGGAGACAAGGATGGGCCACAAGCCCCAGGGTGACCTCACACTCCCACCAATGTCCCAGGAGCTCAGAGGGGACCAAGGTGACCCCGTGGGTCCCCCCAACACCTGCAGAGCAGGTCCAACACGTGGCAGGATCAAAGGACCCCTGGAACACCCACCCCGGGGTGGAGATGTCACCACCACCGGTGACCAGAGCCCCCGAAATGCCACCAAACCCCCCCCACTTCCTACGGGGAAGGACGGACGTCCCCGGGGCATCCTCTGTGTCACCCCTCAAACCCACTTCCTGGGCATCCCCTCAGGTTGCCAGGGACCAGTTTGGCCTGTGGGACGGGACTGGGAGCGGGGGTGTCACCGCTGTCACCGGCCCTGGGGTGACACAGCCCGGCCCTGCCCATCCGGGCCGTGAGCAGGCACCAAAAAACACCCCGAAGGGGACAATTAACCCCCTTAATTGGGGAGCAGGAAGGGAGGGGAGCAGCAGCAGGAGGAGGTGGACACCTCCAGCAGCCCCAACGTGTCCCTCAGGGCTCCCGGGAAGCTTCAAAAAACACCGAAATTGGATTAAATTCCCCATTTTTCAGTCACCTCGAAGGCTTTCCTCTCCAACTGATGGCGTTTCTCGGCCTCCTGCAGCCTCCTGAGGAGCCTCCTGGCCGTCTCTTGGAGCGTCTCCACGTCCTGGCTGGAGCAGTTCTCCTCCTCCTGGGCAGGGATGAGTCGGGAGGCACAAAAGGGTCCCCCACCCTGGCGTGGGTGACACCCCGGTGACACCCCAGTGACATCCCTGCCCCGCTCCCCTCCTCGTCTCCCACGCTCCAGTTCCAGCTCCCAGCCCTCCTCGGGATCCCCGTGGCATTGCCAGCCCTTGTTTTTGGAAGAGGAGGAGGCCACTTGGGCAACCTGAAACCCGAGAACGGGCCCAGCCCCAAAAATCCCGGCCCAAAAAAATCCCAGCCTAAAAATCCCAGCCCCCAAAAAAATCCCAGCACAAAAATCCTGGTCCAAAAAAATCCCAGCCTAAAATCCCAGCCCAAAAAAATCCCAGCCCAAAAACCCCAGCCCCAAAAATCTCAGCCCCAAAAATCTCAGCCCCAAAAATCCCAGCCCCAAAAATCCCAGCCCCAAAAATCCCAGCCCCAAAAATCTCAGCCCCAAAAATCTCAGCCCCAAAATCCCAGCCCAAAATCCCAGCCTGGAGCCTCTGGTTTGGACTGGATGATCCCAAAAGGTCTTTTTTCCAACCCCAAGGATTCCATGGCTCTGTGATCTCCCCCTGGAAGAGCTGGAGGGATGTCCAGGGAGGTTCCTGTCATCCCCTGGGGCTCAAATGCACGGGATGCTTTTTAAGGAGGGGTAAAACCCCCCAAAAAGAGCATTTTTATCTGTGGAAATTCTATCTATGGAACTTCTAACCTGACCCTGTTTGCTGTGGGATCAGGCTCAGCCTCAAAGCCAGGATGAAAACATCATATTAAACCAAAATCATGGAATATTTGGTGGGAAAGGGCTTTTCCCAGGTCACTGAGCCCATCACAGGTCGCCCCAAGCCCCGTCTCCCACCCGACCCTGAACATTCCTGGGGACGAGGCTGAAATTCCCCAAATTCCCCCCTTTTCCCCTCCGTACCTGCTCCTCCCAGGAGTCCCCCCGGAGCCTCTCGGGGCACTTCCAGCTCCCGTTGTGCTGCTCCAGCTCCACCTGCACAATTCCAAGGACACGGAGACCTCGTGATTCCGGCGGCACCTCCGGGGCCACTCAAACCCGGGGGGAGGTTCCTGCAGACAAAACCTTCACCTGCCCGGCCCAGAGCCCTTCTCTGCCTGACTCCTCGTGCAACTTCGGCCTCCAAAACGTGGATTTAATCCACCACAAACCCCCTCCTGGAGCGTTTTCCAGCCCGGAAAGGGGATTCCGCGCCCCCCGTTACCTGTGGGTGCTCCTTAGCTCCTTGTCTGCTCTCAAGTTTACTACTTAAGTCTTCCCGCAGCTTCTTCAAAGCACTTCTAGCCTGGCAAAGGCAACGGGAATTCAGCTGGCTCGGCCTGGAAAGGGTCCCTCAGCCCCCCAAAAAATCCTCCTTCACCACGGCCGAGTTTGGGGGTGGCTACAGCTGATCCAGTTGGGCTACAACTGATCCAGTTTGGCTACAACTGCTCCAGTTTGGCTACAGCTGCTCCAGTTTGGCTACAGCTGCTCCAGTCAGGCTGGAGGGGAGGCAGTGGGTCCCAAATTAATCAAAATACAGCAGGATGGAGTGAGGGGAAGCAGGAGGAACCAAGGGGAAGAAGGAGGAATCAAAAGGAATCAAGAGGAAGCAGGAGGAATAAAAGGGAAGCAGGAGAAATAAAGGGGAAGCAGGAGGAAGTAGGAGGAACCAAGAGGAAGCAGGAAGGATCAAGAGGAATCAGAGAAGCAGGAAGGATCAAAGGGAATGAAGGGGAAGCAGGAGGAAACAAAAGGAATCAAGGGGAAGCAGGAGGAAGCAGCAAGAATAAAGGGGAAGCAGGAGGAACCAAGGGGAAGCAGGAGGAATCAAAAAGAAGCAGGAGGAAGCAGGAGGAAACAAGAGAAAGCAGGAGGAAACAAGAGCAATCAAGGGGAAGAAGGAAGGATCAAGAGGAAGCAGGAGGAATCAAGGAGGAATTAAGGAGGAATCAAGGGAAAATGAGGGGGGGGTGGATCAAGGAGAGACCAGGAGAGATCAAGAGATAAATCAAGATAAATCAACAGGAATCCAAAGGAATCCGAACCAGAGGGAGGAAAATAAAAAGGGATCTTCTGGAGATTGGCCTGGCTGCTCATTCCTGGCTCCCCAAGGTCACAACAGCCATGACTTGGGATTCTCCCGGGCCAGGGAAGGATTCCCAGCCCTGGCCACCAGCTCCTCTCTCCCAGGAAACCCTTCTCTGAGCATTCCCAGTGCTCGGATCCAACCCCTACCCCTGGATTTTGGCTGGGATAAAGGAGTTTTCCAGAGCTCTTGGATCAACAACCAGCTGGATCGAGACATTCCCAGGGTTTTCCCCCCAGTTGGATGCCAACAAAAACCGGTGCCACCACCTCGACTTTTAACTGGTTGGGCTCTTCCTCTCCTGTTTTCCACAGGCAAAATCGACTTTTCCAGCTGCTCCAAGCCAGAAAATCCCAAAATCCCGCTCGACTCGTCCTAAACCGGCCCTTTTAAACCCAATTCCTGCTTCTCCAGCCCTTTTTAAACCCAATTCC